TGAAATCAAATTTCTGTGGGTCTCTCTTTCAATTATGTATAGGTTTATCTTATGATTTAAGGTTTCTATTTGCGTGACTTGTCTTAGAATGTCAAAGTAGACGTGATCATTCTCTGCTTTTCTAATCCTGTTAAAATTAATTTCCATGATGGAATCAGTAGGTGATGGATACTAAGTGATAAAAAACTGGAATTTTAAACATGACTCTTCTTCTTCAAAAGACTGTATGCTTTTAAGATAATGAACATTAAATTAAAATTAATTTTCTAGTATCTCCTCGAGATAGTGGAAATTCTTGAGAGATCATAAAACCAGGGTTGGAAATATTAGATTGTTACTCATAGTTAAGAACCCACTTCGAATCCTTAGAGCTCTATTCTTTTGGGATTAGAATTCTAAAATTATAGACCTCCATTTCAGTATGACGTTAATGACAAAGACTAAAGAATTATTTATAAAATGAAATAGAACATAAACCAAAGCTTTAAGTCAGTGGGATGATTTGAATGCCTGATTTCTTGTGAAATTTGTGAGAGGAGAAAAGTGATAAACCAAACTTTTTTGAACAATGTTCCATGACCCTGTGTCATCCAAATCATTCCTCTGAAGAACTCTTCTAAGTATATAAGCAAAATTGTTAAAGGTTTAATGTTTCTTATAGCTAGCATGTTAATCTTAGACTAAATTTATGTTAGTTGGACTTTATTTTTATGTGTTATTTTGAATATAAATTTTCACCATTTGAAATGATTAATTTCTGTTTCACATTTTCCCTTTTTTTTCTGATGTGGACCATTTTTTAAAGTCTTTACTGAATTTGTTACAATACTGCTTTTGTTTTATGTTTTTGGTTTTTTTGACCCCAAGACATGTGGGATCTTAGCTCCCCGACCAGGGGTTGAACCCACACCCCCTGCATTGGAAGGCGAAGTCTTAACCACTGGACCGCCAGAGACGTCCTCTCACATTTTCCCTTTTATGTTAAGTTAATCATATCTGGTTTTGTTGTTGCCAACTCCTTGGTTAGTAATGTAACCCCCAATTAAAACATAATTTTTTTTTTTTTTGCGTTACGCAGGCCTCTCACAGTTGTGGCCTCTCCTGTTGCGGAGCACAGGCTCCGGACGCGCAGGCTCAGCGGCCATGGCTCACGGGCCCAGCCACGCCGCGGCATGTGGGATCTTCCCGCACCGGGGCATGAACCCGCGTCCCCTGCATTGGCAGGCACATTCTCAACCACTGCGCCACCAGGGAAGCCCCAGCGTCATTTTTTATGATGAAAAAAAAAACAAAGATTAACTTCATAATGTGATTTCTTGGATTATTTTTTCAAATAACTGTAACTTTTGGGGTCTGGTTAGATGGAGAACTTAACCATTTACCTTATTCTTCACATTCACTTTTGTATTCTACTTACCACCTACTCATTTTTAAAAATGATTTTTTTAGAATTAAATTATGGGGATGCATATATAATGAAAGTGCTTTTTAAAAAATGGAAATGGTATAAGACACTTTATCCAAATGTTAATTTTTATATGTTGGTAATTTTGAATTAGATACTTATTTTATTCTATAAGATTAGTAGAGTGTATAATTTAAGTGTAGATAAATTACAGGTGTGTGTTATGTGCATATGAGGGTTTAACATTTTATATGTTAATGAGTGTTTTAACTAGTTTATAAATGCTTTTTTAAAAGATGAAAATATCGCAGGATAGATTTGACAGCCACATTCCAGAAGGTTTATTTATAAAGCTAAACTTTTATTATGAGGGATCTACTGTAATGAAGATCCTGTATGACAAAATGATTTCTAAATGCTCAGCTGATAGCTAGCTTATAAATTTCAGTATAATAATGAAATTGTGATCTGTTTTTAGAGTTCTTTAAAATGGGATTTAGCCCAGAGTTAAAAGTGGTTAAGATTTATCAGTGATTTCTGTGTGCCAGGCATTGAGCTATGTGCTTTATGTATATTATCATTTAATCTCCATTATAACTCTGTGAATTAAGTTTTATATATATATATATATATATATATACACACACACACATATATATGCATATATACGTGTGTATGTGTGTGTGTGTGTGTGTGTGTGTGTGTAGGCAAAGCACAGAGATTAACTAACTTGGCCAAGGTCATACAGCTAATAAGTAGTTGAGTCAGAGTTTGAACCTATTATTCTTCACCAAATTTTACTGTTTATGGTTAATAAATGTTTAAAGTATACATTAAAGTATAAAAAGCTGAATTAAACCTTAGAGATAATTCACCTGAACTAAGAGCTGAGACCCAGAATTCTAAGGTAACTTGACTGAAAGTTGTGCCAGTGCTGGAGCTATGACTTGGTTCTTCTGGCTTCTAGCCTAGTTCTCTTTTCATGTGTAGACTCTACAGCTGTGGATTGTGGAATGGCTTAATTTCCCCCTTACCAGAGAGTATATAGAACTAAATGCATTACCTTTATTATTTAACACAGTGACATTGCATCAGGTGGTATCTATCAATGGCTAAAAGTAAAATTTTCAAGCAGTTAAAAATTTAGACCACATTTCCTTTGACTTAAATTTTTTGTAGGAAAAAATCCTTAAGATATAGTTTAATTTTAGATATATAAAATCTGAGACAAAAAATAATAAAGTAGAAATTATAATTTTTTGTCTGAGCAGTCTCCAAAAGTCAATGGGTTATAATATAAAAAAGTCTTGTAAGTCATTTACCTGGAATTCATTTAGAAACAATCATATTAAACATGGTCATATAATTTCTACCTGAGTCAGTAGCTGAAGTGTAGTGTATTCTCTTTTTCTGGCTGTTTTGGAGCCACCTCCGAGCTGCAGAAGCTGTTGAAACCTTTTGGAGCTTTGAGATCCCCACTGCATACCTTTGTTGGATATTTCACTTCACTGGCAGCTGATTTAACCTTCATAGAATTCCACGCCTTACCACTAAAATTCTGAAGTGGTGACTTGAGAGATTTTGACCGTGATAGTTTTGGCATGTTCCAGTGGCTGACATGCCAAAGGAATCCATTAAAGTGTTTGTTTATTAACCAGAATGAAATAAGGCAATGACTCTTTAGACCAGCATTGTCCAGTAGAAATGTTCTGTAGCCGCACTGTCAAATGCAGTAGCCACCAGCCACATGTGACTTTGAACATTTGCAATGTGGTTAGTGAAACTGAGGAACTGAGTTTTAAATTTTATTTAGTTTTTATTAAACTTAAATAGTCACCTGTGGCTAGTGGCTTCTGTATTACACAGTGCAGCTTTTGGCTGAATTACAGTTCTAATTGCCAACCTTTTAGTGTGTTTGCTAGTGTGTCAGTTGAGGTTCCTAAGTAGCTACTATGATCCTTAGGCTTCTGAAGTAGGTTATCTTAAAGTCATCTTTATAGTCATAGGCAGTGGATATCTTGTTCATATGGACAGGTCATTGATTAATTGAATATTTGTAAATTGAGTACTAATTTTAAAGTTTTGCTAAATAATATTTATATGATCACTTAACAAAAATGTTATATGTGAGTCTCATAAGCTGTGTAATTAAGGCTCTTAGAGAATATTTTGTATTCTTGGTACTAGGAGGTCCTTAATGTTGAGCAAGAATTGTCATGTATCTGCTTAGGTACTGCTGATGTTAGTTTAGGGGCAAGCTACAACTATTCAAATAATTGAGTTAAAGAGACCTCATAACTTGGTGAATTTAGTTGAACACAGTATTCACTAGAGTCTCTTGTAATAGTAATTTAAACTTGTAGCAATAACTTCTGAGGTTAAAATAATTTTTTTTCCTGTGGACTAATTCAGTCCAAATAACTTAGAAATTAAAAAGCAGGAAAACTAGCTTTTGTCAGCCTGAGAATAAAGAGGAATGTGAAGATTGTATTAGCTGTGTATCTTAATATTTTAGGGTCTGTCATCTAATTTTTTACTTTTTTCCTTTATAAGTAAAGCAGTTTTTTAAAATTTTGTATATTTAAAAAAATTTTTGCTGTTGTATGTGTGGGAATCCAGAAAGCAAATTCTTGTTTTAAATAAGGCAATTCAATTTTTTAAAAATAGATCTTATTTATTTATGGCCAAGTTGAGTCTTCGTTGCTGCGTGCGGGCTTTCTTTAGTGGCACCGAACGGGGGCTACTCTTTGTTGTGCGTGGGCTTCTCGTGGTGGCTTCTCTTGTTGCGGAGCACGGGCTCTAGGCACGCGGGCTTCACTAGTTGTGGTGCACGAGCTTAGTTGCTCCGCGGTATGTGGGATCTTCCCAGACCAGGGCTCGAACCCATGTCCCCTGCATTGGCAGGCGGATTCTTAACCCTTGCGCCACCAGGGAAGCCCAAATTCAAATTTTTATATGTTTATTCTAAAAGCATTTGTTTTGAATTATAAACATATTATATTATAAATTTTTGAAGGCAAATACTGTGACTTATTTATCTTTTTTTCCCTAGAACTTTGTACATTACCTTACATACAGAAAGCAATGAGTATGATTAGTTTGAAGAGTTATTTTTTGAATGAATTAATCTATGATGAAGTACTATATCCAACTAATTTTTTCCTTTTAAGTTTCATTGATTAAAAAACCCAGAGAAATATAAACTAAAACTTATTTAAGATTATGTTTTATTATGGAAGGTGAAGAATAGGTAACAGTTAAAGATTAATGTCACTTAGCATCTGAAAAATTCAGATTTATTAAAATAGTACATTATGAGGAGATTATTCATTTTTACACAAGGATGCTTTTAAAAAACTATTTGTAATTTAATAATTTCAGACTTCTTCAAATAGTAAGAGCTTAATAGAATCACCATTTTACTTATTTGGGTTCATTCAAGAAAGAACCAATTATGTAGAGTGAGTTAAATGTTTATGTTAAACTTATCAAATTTAAAAATTGAGCTTTTTATAGGAAAAATGATTAAGTATGTGTATATTTAATTTAATGAAATCCACTTTAATACTAGGTATCTTTATTTTATAGGAAGGAAAAGAGATATAACTTGCTGCCTTGTGTGGAGTCACATGATGATCAAAATTAGATCCAAGAATTTCTAAACCCCAAGTTTCACATTTCAATATTTGGCTTTACTTAAAGTGACTCATAAAATTGACTGATATCTTGTGTCAGTACTTAAATGACAATTTACAGAAAGTCAGCTCTTCAACTTGATTGGCGACAACCCTTCTCAGCCAAAAAGTAAGTGTTGCTGCCACTACTGATACTAGTGTATGTGCTTTTGTACCAATAACTTTGCATCAGGAGAAAGGATGAGAGGTAGGCACATTTCCTTAAAAACAAAAACACTTAAAATTATTAAGGTAGCAAATGCTCACATAAAAACAAATAATGTGAATTAAAATATGAGTAAAGTAGAAATGAAATGATTTCTCTCTGTGCCTGGTGATCACTACTATTATTAGTTTGGTATACATAGTCATGTATGTTTCTTTTATGCATAGATAAAAATTAATTATTTCTAAAAAAATTCTAAAGCTGTTACGTATCTTCAAAATTTTTTTTCTCAACAATATATCCTGTACATATTGACAATGGCAGTACCGTGCTAAAAAGAGTAAGGAAGATCTTTGTCTTCTGCCTGAGTTTGGTAGGGCTGCCATGACAAAGTATCATAGACTAGATGGCTTAAATGACAGAAGTTTATTTGCTCACAGTTCTGGAGCCTAGAAGTCTAAGATCAAGGTGTTGGTAGGGTTAGTTCCTTTTGAGGGTCGTGAGGGAAGGATATGTTCCAGGCCTCTCTCCTTGGCTTACAGGTGGTCATCTGCTTCCTATGTCTTCAGAGGGTCTTTCCTTAATACGTGTATCTGTGTCCTGACCTGCTATTCTTCTTTCTTTTTTAAAAATAATTAATCAATTTTGGCTGTGCCAGGTCTTAGTTGAGGCACATGGGATCTTAGTTGCAGCATATGGACTTCTTAGCTGTGGCATACATGTGGGATCTAGTTCCCTGACCAGGGATCAAACCTGGGCCCCCTGCATTGGGAGCACAGAGTCTTACCCACTGGACCACCAGGGAAATCCCCTAATCTGCCCTTCCTTTAAGGAAACTGGTCATAGTGGATTAGCGCCCACACACTGTCCCATTCATATATATATATATATATATATGTATATATATATATATATGGTATATAGCTATGTATACTCTCTTTATATATCTAGTTAAGCATCACTTGTATCCATCTCCATTGCTGTTACTTTAGTTTAGACCTTCAGTACTGTTTCTCTTTTTTCCCTCCTCCCCTCCTCTTACTCTTCCTTTTTCTCCTCCACCTCAGCTTAAAGTAATATATATACATAGTTTAAAAAAATCAAACAACCTAAAAAGGCTTTAAGGGGTTTAACCTCAGTTTTTTGAAGAGTGCTTATGCACATATATATGTGTGCTGTCTGTTGCATAGTTAGTTTTAACCATTTTCTAATGATGTTTATCATGAGGATTTATGCTTTCTTACAGCTACGCCTTCCTTCCCTCTAAGTATCTCCCAACATAAAAATCAAATCCGTATTTGATATTTTCATTATGATGACCATATAAATACTGTTCACTGACAAGCATGGTAATATGCTATTAATATGCCATTATATATAGAATAGCATATGAGAGGATACATTTCTTTTTATTTTTTTTCTTTCTTCTGGTGTACCCAGCAATTAATACTTTTAATGTTTTTTAATTTGCTAACTTGTATTGAAGTCTATAGCTAAATCTTCTCACACTCTCAAGAGCCTCTCAATTCAGTTTTTTATACTGTAAAACTTGTCAGGTAGTCTAAAAGTTTATACTTTAATCATCTTTTCTTTGGCCTCCTAGAGACGTTGCTCCTGAAGGTACTTTTCTCCTGAATTAGTCTGGACTGGTTGTTCTCTAGGCCTACTGAACTTCTTTTGTTCTGGGACTTTGTATTGTGGTGAATGCCATGTTTTCTTCATCCTGTGTCTTCCTCTTTCTTGACTGAGTCTCATGTTTTGGTGGATTGTATAGAAGCTTCCTGAGAAAGGGTGCCTGGGAAGTAAATCTTGTGTGATGTTGCTGGTCCTTACTCTCACACTTGTTGAAAAGTTTGAATTCTAAATTGAAAAATAATTCTGGTAAGAATTTTATAAGTATTACTTTACTGTCTTTTAATTTCTGTTCTTATTACTCTTGATCTTTTCTACATGATCTGTTTCTGCCCCCCAACCCCTACAGATCTGAGCATATTCTCTTTATCTTTTTTGTTCCGAAATTTGGTAATTATATGTCTTGGTATAACTTTTTTCTTGATTGTTGTACTGAGTATTAGTGGGATCTTTCAACCAAGAGATTTTTGTCTTCTGATCTAGGAAATTTTCTTACATTATTTCTTTGATAACCTACCCCCTGCTTTTTCTCTATTCTCTTTCTATAAATTTTATTAGGTGAGTGTTGTACTTTTGAAATTGATTTTCTAACAACCTTGTGTTCTCTGTTTTGTTTATATATATACTTGTGTGTGTGTACGTATGTATGTATATATAAATTTTTTTTTCTCTCGTAGTTCCACCTTTGAGGACATTTTGGTTTTTTTAACTGAATTTAAAAATTTGGCTATCGTATTTTTAGTTCTATTTTTGTTACTGAACATTACTTTTTATAACATCCTTTTTTGTCTCATATCTCTAAAAATGCTAATTATATTTTTTCTAGTATTTGTCTTGCTTTTTGCATTATCTCTTTTCCTTAGGACTCTTTATCTGTTTTATTGATTTTGGTCTGAAAGACAAGAGGTTTTCCGAAAATTTCTGATGCTAATTGGTCGTCTGTTACTGAGGCACTAAAATGCTTCCTAGGAGGTCTGTGCTTTGTCAGAACTTCTAGGGTGGTGATATTTACTGTATGTTCTTTGGTCTGTTTCTTCAGGTGGGAAATGTCTAATTTTCCTGGATTGGAATAAGCCTTACTTTGTTCTTTTATTTTAGCCTAGCACCTCATCCCTGCTTTGCTGTATACCTGGCATTCCT